TACATTTGTTCTTAATAATAAATATACTTTTTGTCACTGTGCTCTATATTATATATATATATATATATATATATATATATATATATATATATATATATATAATATTGTATTTGTATATTTTATAGAAGTTTCATTAACAATGACTGATAAGGTACTACAGATAAAGCTTTTGATTCAGTTCTTTTGTGTTCATAAAAGTATTTTATTTTCTGGTGTGTAAAAAATGTACAAATTTTCTATATATCCAAATGTCTTTGCTTATTCTATTAGTGATTATCAAGGTTTTTTTTTTAAACATTTTGAACATGCAATTTTTTATATATGTGTATCTATAGTGATGAGAATGTTTTTTTTTATTTTCCAAACATGGTCAGAATATTTTGGCAGTGTTCATAGTTGGTGTTATTGAGTGTTGGCTTTTTCTTTTTTATTATTAATGCTTCCATTATATTTAGACTTGGAAGGTGTGGATGAGGCTAGTAAAATTGTATTTTCTATGAGTATTTGTACTGAAGGAGATTGGTAGGATTCTGTGTGTATTTAAATGAGCCCTAATTGAGCTATAGGCAGAGAGATACAACGTGAGTCTTCATGATAGGCATGTAGTGGTATTTCAACTATATATGTGTGTGTGTGTGTGTGTGTGTGTGTGTGTGTGTGTGTGTGTGTGTGTGTGTGAAAATATATAGAAAAATAGGAAAGAGCCGTTAGGTTAATAATCTGAATTTCAAGATTAGTTACTCCAAAATTCACTTGAGGATGAAACAGAGCTGGGTACTTTAATTCAATTTAATTTTTCTAATTAAATTGAAGTTTTTAGCTTTTGTTTTTGAAACATGAGAACTCTTATATATAGCGATGGAATCATAGTTTTAAAAAATAATTATAATATATATATATATATATATAGTGTGTGGGGGGTGCTGAAAAGTTCTTGACTTGATTAAGAAGCTCTTCCTCTGCAAAAATCTGATGTTTGGTCATTTGACCCAATTTTAGGAAGCAGGAAAAAGTGATAAATTTTCAGCATACCCCCACATAGTGTAGTATACGGGAACCTCAGTCAAGATCATGGAGTCCATAGCACCAGTTAATTATGAATTCCATAATCCTTTCCATGTCTGTAGAGTATGTTTTGATAGGACTACATATGATTTTGAATTTAGAGTTGACTTTTTCCTAAACTGGTTACCAACAACAGATAGAGGGCTCAGTCTACCCTGCTATTTAATCCATAATTGGGGAAAGAAGAAATGGATTCATAACTTTTTCACAGGTATTTGTGCAATGTAATGGACTTGACAAGAACTCAAACTCAGCTTGCCAAGTTCTTGTTCATAGCAGCTAACCATTACACTACCTACACATCCATTATATATATATATATATATATATATATATATATATATATATATATATATATATATACACACAAAAAATATATCAATATTTTCTCGCCCTCAAAAGCTGTTATCACTTAAGTATTTTCAAATTTACTCTGGACAAAACACATCCAAAGACTAGTATTATTGTCTCCAGAAGTGTAGATATGAAACCTGTAAAAAGAATATATTGTCTTCAGAAGTTTTTGTTATGAAACCTGTATCAAAAAATATTAATTATAGTTTTCCTTTTGTACATCTTTAATAAATATAATTCTGAAAACTTTTTGATATTTCCTTAAAAACACACACACACATATATATATATATATATATATATATATATATATATATATATATATACATATATAGGAAAATATATAAATCTTCATATATCAAGAACAAAGTAGGAAAACCTTTATAAATTTGACATGTTTCACTATTTCATTTTAGCTTCATCAAAATATCTTTTTATCTGATGAAGTTAAAATAAAACAGCAAAACATATCAATTTTGTTTTTTTTAGACCTTGAGTATATTTTCAAATTGACTTCGTTATTCAGAAGCCATTTTTTATCATTTCAATCCAAACAAGGTGATAATGCCACTAAGATGCAAGGTGGTCTACTGGGAGTGAAAGAGAATGAGAAAAGTTTGCAAAGAACTGGAAGCCCAATCCTAAACAGGAAACAAGGAATAAAACTCTACCCCTCTTCAAAAACAGGGTAGGAGTGTGAACTGGGCAATAATTGAACTTATCTCCCCTTATAAAGATTTTGCTACTTGTTACTAATGTAATCATATATATACCCAGAAGATATATACAGGCATTACAAAACTTATCCATGAACAATCATAATATCATAACCCCTTCCAAACAAAGAAGGTGGGATAGTTATAATGGACACCAACATCTCCATTGAAAAACTAGAATTCCTTAAATGACAACAACACCTACATGAACAAACTATAAACCCTGACACACATAGATTTAACAAAACAATAAGAAAACTTAGAAAACAAAAATAAATTTTGATTGAAATTAATAGAATATCACCCCACTATACCCACTCTATATGGCTTACTGAAGACACATAAACACAACATAACCATTAGACCCATTGTGTCCAGAATTAATAGTGTACCACATAAGTTAGCTAGCCATCACAAGAATCCAAACTCTATTCCTAGGCACCATCAACACTATACACTAAACACTCAGGCAACTTACACAAAGAATACATAACATAAATATGACTAACATGTCTATCACAAGTTTACACCTCAAATTACTATATACCAATATACCAATCATGAAATGCCTTAATATAATAAGAAATCTGCTCAAAAATCCAAGGAAAAACTATCTCTACCTGTCTACAAAATTATTAAGATATGCAAATTAATTACTAACCACTGTTACTTTTCATTCAATGACATTTTCTACAAACAAAAATTCAGTTTAACCACGGGGTCACATATCAGTGGTGTTCTTGCTTGCCTCTTTCTAAAATTCTTAGGATCTGCCCCTTTTAAACATATCTTACCTAACAGCTCTGCTTACCTGAGGCAAATATATAATGTCCTCTTACTTTATCCCCAAGATACAAATTTATTAAACATGACAAAATTCAATAAGGTTGAACCTACCATTAAATTCACACACAAACTTGAAACAAACAATTCTCTACCTTTCCTCAACATCTTATTAATACGCAACAATGATAAATTAAATTTTAAAGGAATATATTGAAAAAACATTCAAACTTCTCCACTAACCACACCATTTCATCCTCAACTCTAAAAAAATCCATACAACCAAACAATCAAATACTCCCAAAAATTATACAAAATTCATAGTCTTGCCTTCCAACACTCTTTCAACTAAACCAAATTAGCAAGGATCATTAACACCACCTTCAAGACAATTGGGCATATAATCAGGAAGAGAAATAAAACAAACACCATTTCAAATGCTAAAATTTATCAAAGTGTCTACAGTGAAAAAATGTTTATGTGAGGAAGATATCACGTGATCTAAAAACCTAGATCTATGAACACAAAAGAGACTTGTGTTCAGACAAACATTCTAACTCTCTTGACTTACATGAAAATGATGTGGGACATAACTTTGATTTTACTAACGCCAGCCTAATTAAAAAAGAACATAACCTTTTAAGAGAAAATATTTTGAAAATATATTTATATTAAGTTGGTGCAAAAATAATGACGTAATAATGTCGTTTTTTGACGTTAAAAAATACGTTAAAAAACGACATTATTACGTCATTATTTTTGCACCAACCTAATAGCATTACTACCAACTATAAACACTTATTTAAAACATTACATCATATCACCATCTTTCTACAGATCCATTATTCATGAGTCTAACTTATGTCTAAAATATTGAGGATTTTACAAATTTCTCTAAATTACACGTTAAATTAAACCAAAACTAGATTATTACAATATCTTACTTCATTTCCACAACCTGCACAGAGTTCATGACCACAGACTTTCCCTACACATACATACACATAAACGAAAACATAAAAATCCAACCAAATACAAAATTATTTTGCAACATATCGCTACATTTCAGTGACAAAATACAAGGATGACATCAATAGACTTCCCTCACATGCACACTTGTACACTTACATGAATTAACATTACCATCCTACATACACCTACACACACAAGAGTTTCTTTACTTACACACTCTTACACTATCACACACTTTAACATCCTAAATATTCCTCAGATATGTTTATATATTATCTTTGCTTTTTAATTTCTATTCTCAATCTCTGACAATGCCTTAATAAGGGTGAAACATGTTAGATTCAAATTTGTTTCCTACTTTGTACTTCATTTCATCATATATATATATATATATATATATGTCAGTATAGTAGACCAATGAAAGAAATTTGAAAACGTTATAACAATATTAATATTTTTGTATATTATTCAGCCATTTGACAAAATGGAAGCATGATGAGAAAAATGTTTAAAATCAGAACTGTGTCATTTCTTGATGAAAAATAAAGGATTCTTTTTTTAATCTTTCATTAATAGTTTTGTTCTGATTTTTAACATTAAATAATATTATTATATTATATATTGTTCTGATTTTTATTATTAAATAATATTATTATGATATTAAATAATATTATTATAATATTATATATTGTTCTGATTTTTAATATTAAATAATATTATTATAATATTAAATAAAAATATTATTGTGATATTAAATAATATTATTATAATATATATTTTTCTGATTTTTTTTTTACATTAAATAATATTATTATAATATTAAATAAAAATATTATTGTGATATTAAATAATATTATTATAATATTATATATTTTTCTGATTTTTACATTAAATAATATTATTATTATGACTTTTTCAAATTTCTTTCTTTGTCCACTATAGCTACATTCAGTAAAAGGCATACATGGACAATCTTTCTCTCTCTTTCTCTCTCTCTAAATATATATATATATATATATATATATATATATATATATATATATATATATATATATGTCTTATGAAAAGAAAAACTTGCCCTTTCATACATTTGCCTTTCACACTTTTTACCTGTGGACACGGATTTTTCAGTAGATGTTTCCAGTTGGATATCTTGACCTGGGAAAGTAAGAAAAAATATTTATTTATTTATTTACTAAAATATATTTGAATTTAAAAAGAAAGTCATAGAAAAACAGAAAACTAATGTTATGGTTGAAAAATTGTTCTGCATATAATAGGAATCCTGTGTATGGGACTCCCAGAGAAAAGAGAGTTCAAACAACCAAGAAACTTATGGACAATAAATTCTAATATTTCTTTTAGTAGGAATCATCCATAATCATCAGCCACTTTACTGACTTAACTGCTATTCTTGGACTAACTTTGACATACTCTGCTACATCTGTCATCATATAATTTCCTGTTTCCTCTTATAAGCCAGTTCAATATGGTGGTTTCATTTCTTTGATTAGTACAATCACAATTCACAGTTGAAAGTGGATTTCCTAATTTCAAGTGACCAACAATATAGGTAACCTATAGTTTATACTGTAACTATGCTGAGCAAATTTTTGTTATAGTTTCTAGGAAAGTGCATAAACTAGCAAGAGCAGTAGCTGAACAATATCAGTACGCTCAAAAACATTGATTACAATGACTTGTGACTTCATGCTAGCACAACCAATGATGGCTTCCAAACAGTTTCATCTACTCAATTTTACTCAGAATGGTATTGTTTTCAAGCACTTCCCAATGATGCCACATACAGGGATCATATCCTCAGGTCAATATTATCAAGATGTCACCTTGCTGACAAATCAACCACAGTGAATGTTGAAACAGGGTTTTTAATTTGATTCAATAGGTAAACATAGGTCATGTTTATATTGGAGGCCATATGTAAATAATGGTCATGTTTATATTGGAGTCCATATTTAAACACAGTTCATGTTTATATTGGAGCCCATAAGTAAACAATGGTCATGTATATATCACAGTCCATAAGTAAAATATGGTCATGCTTATATTGGAGTCCCTAAGTAAACAATGATCATGTTTGTATTGGAGCCCATATGTAAACAATGATCATGTTTATATTGGAGCCCATAGGTAAATAATGGTCATGTTTATATTGGAGTCCATATGTAAAAATGGTCATGTTTATATTGGAGTTTATAGGTGAACAATGGTCATGTTTATATTTGAGTCTATAAGTGAACAATGGTCATGTTTATATAGAACTCCATAGGTACACAATAGTCATCTTTATATCAGAGTTCATAGGTAAACAATGGCCATGTTTATATTGAAGTCCATAAGTAAACAATGGTCATGTTTATATCAGAGCCCATAGGTAAACAATGGTCATGTTTATATCACATTTCATAAGTAAACAATGGTCATGCTTATATTGGAGTCCCTAAGTAAACAATGATCATGTTTATATTGGTGTCTATAAGTAAACAATGGTCATGTTTATATTAGAGCCCATAGATAACCAATGGTCATGTTTATATTGGAGTCCATAAATAAACAATGGTCATGTTTATATTGAAGTCTATAGGTGAACAATGGTCATGTTTATATAGGACTCCATAAGTAAACAATAATCATGTTTATATTGGAGTTCATAATTAAACAATGCTCATGTTTATATTTGAGTCTATAGGTAAACATTGGTCATGTTTATATTGGAGTTCATAGGTAAACATTGGTTGTGTTTATACTGGAGTCTGTAAGGAAATTTTGGATGAAGTTATGCATGTCGTGTCTCTGTACATAGGTATAGATTTAAAGTTTTACTGTCAGTGTAAGTTGAATTTGGTTAACACAAAGAAGTAATTGAAAATTGAGAATACATTTTATTGGGAAACTAAGAAGACAAATCAAATGTACCTTTTTGTGGTATTCTATCAAATCAGAGAGGGTACGATGAGGTTTTGGCTCTCCAATTATCACATATTTTCCATTTGAAAGTTGGTCAATCATGTAATGTCGGCATCTGTTGATATCTCTGAAAAATATTTAATCTGTGTACAATTCTTCTCCTTCCAAAATATTGTAAAAAAAAAATGAAATAAAAAAATTTTATCTTTTCTGATGAGACCAGTTTATTGACAATGCACGTCCCAGTAGAAATTTTCCAAATTGTCTTATATATTTACCAATTCTCAACCACTGTGCCATGGCACACTAGTGTGTTGCACAATCCTCTTAAGCATGCCATGAAATATTGTCACGGCATACATATATATGTGTGTGTGTGGAAGTAGCAATGATATAGTGTTAGTATTTGAATAAATGAATGTTATTAAACTTTTTATCCCACATTAGCTAAAAAGGTTTTATCAGTTTTATTGCAATTTTCTACTTCTTATTTATGAGATATGGCTTCTCAACTGTAGATAACATCAAAAATAAGAAGCAAGAAAGACAACACTCAACTGAAGAAGAAATGAGAGTCTGCTTATTACACATTTGACCAAACATTGAAGAAATTTCTAAAAAAAAAAAACAGGCACAGGTTTCACACTAAATAAGCTGCACAAATAGTTGAATAAAAACATCAATAAAAGTCAATTCATATTTGTGTGTGAATTTTCTTTAAATCTATGGTTTTATTTAATATCATTTAAATGTATAGCTTTTAAAAATTTTGCTAAGTGTGCCATGATATTTTCATTTTCTCCTAGGTGTGCCATTGCTTAAAAAGGTTGAGAAACACTGCTCTAAAGCAATGACCAATTAAAGAACATTAACTGATGTATATTTTAACATGAATAATTTAGTAATTATAATATCATGTTAATTTGCCAAAAATACAAAGACCAAATACTAATGGGAAATTTATCTTCCATTCTCATTAAATAACAAATATGCACAAACGATTAAAAAGAGTAACTAAAAGAAAACTTATTAAAAGCTAGGAATACATATTGTCTTTTTTATGACCTTTAACTGTTTTAACTTTTGTGACTGCCGCTTGAAGACACTGGTTTGATAACAAAAATAACACCTATACTCAAAATCAAAAACAGGTGAAATTTCTTGAACAAATTATGAGGGAGGAGGGCTTAGAAAACTTAACTCTGACAGGGCATATCAAGAGCAAGAGAGAGAGAGGTGGGGAAAAACAGCAGGCAATCTACCTGACAAGCTTGTGTGAATGCATGATGGGACTGGAGGCGGGGGGATTCTTTGCAAAGAGAGAAATGTTGCTAATGGCAAAAAGGGATAGGAAATTGTGGAGATCCATGACTGCCTACATCCCTGAAGAGTAACAGAACATAGAAGAAGAAGAAGAAAAGGGAGTATGTATGCAGTGAATGTAAATCTTGTTGACTACCCCATTGAGTATAGGGTCACAGCTATGCCATAGTTGACATTAATGCTGTAGTTTCTGTAGCAAGTAGGTACTGAATTCAGATTTGTTCTTCTCCTAGACTGGTTTCCAACCAAGGCTAACAGAACCAGCTTAGCCTGAGAGGCAGGAGAGAAGGATTCATACCTTTTGAAGGATATTTGTGTGAAAGTGAATGCAACAGCTTCAACTGAAACTTGGCATGCCAGTACCACTTTCCATGCTGATAACTGCTACAGCATGTGCACATCTAATAGGGAGTAACAGGATTCCAGAAATATTTTCATCAAATCTACAGGGCATCAGTGTAATAGGATTCTTTACAGCTTTTAATATATATTAAGAGTAGTTGCACTATATTGAGTCTAGTTAGTTTTCCTCTTTGTCACTGAGGCCTGCTGGCCCATTGGCATAATACTTGCATTGTATTGCAATGGTTTGAGTTCAATTCTCAATAGCGGATGTGCACTGCTGATGTGTCCCAAAAAGGATGAAACGGCCATACAGTACTTTCTGCATTTTGTTGAGGATTCTTGTTCTAGACTCGATGAATTATTATGAGAAATTATTCAAATCTCAAAAATTTCTATCACTTATGAACCTATGCTTGATCCAGCTTCTAGTGCTCTGGATGAAGTGGCTTGGTGAAAGATGACATTGCTGTTGGGGCCAGTTCCAGTGGGTTATGTATGCTTGGATGAGTATCAAAACTAGGATTAGAAGTATCTGCACTATATTGAGTCTAGTTAGTTCCCTCTTCATCACCAAAGCCTACTGACCCAGTGGTATAATGCTTGCATTGTAGCATAATGGTCTGGGGTCAATTCTTGGTAGTGGATGCACACTGCTGATGAGTCCTAAAAAGGACGAAATGGCCATACAGTGCTTTCTACATTCTGTTTTTATAGATGTGTCTGGGTATGTAGCCTAGCTAATTTCCTTCAATTTGTTTTTGTTGATATCAATTTTATTAAATGTCCCATATTGTGATAATGGAGGATCTACCAAGAAAAGTAAAATATAGGAACCTAGACAGAAACTTACTCAAGATGATCTTGCAATCAAAGCACTTTCTATATAATTTGTCTTAGAAATGTGCATTCAATTTATATTGAAGCTGCATTTTTTAATCAAAACTATGGTCAGACTTGTTACAATGAGCAATTTATTCACTGAGTGCATTGTTATGTACACAATCTCTTTTGTCTTCATATAAACTTTTATGTCTTTTAAATAGATTTATTACTTTAAATTAAGATTTTGATGCTTTTATCCTATTTTAAGGACACATATATCTTTGATATTTTTTATGGTGGAAATACTAAAGCTGCTTGTAAAACAGGTAAAATATTTACAACTTCATAAAAGCTGGGAATAAAATATTTCCAACCTTATAAAGGCTGAAAATAAAATATTTACAACCTTATGAAAGTTTGGAATAAAATACTTCCAGAATTATAAAGGCTAGGAATAAAATAGTTCCAACATTATAAAAGTTTGAAATAAAATATTTCAGATCTTATAATGGCTGAAAATAACTGAAATATTAATGCAGAATATGTGAATATATTTAATTAGTTTACCTGAAAGACAGAGAATATCCAAATCGACTTTCACTGACTCGAATCAAATAACAACCAATTTCACAATCGCTCAATAAGCGTTCTGCTTCCCTGGAAAAAAAAAGATAATTAATATCATTAGGTGTTTACATAAAGAACTTGTTTTTTTTTATTTTTCTTGTTCCAAATTAAAATGAAATAAATATGTGGATGGATGGACATTATTATTCTATGTTAATATGAAAATAAAAATAGATAGTTACACTATGTCAGATTTTATTATACAGGTCAATGTTTTCATTATAAAATCACTAAGAGACAGTTGAAATTTCTAGGGCAGCTAATTAGAAAAGAAGGCTTAGAAAATTTGATACACACAGGACATATTGAAGGCAAGAGAGACAGAAAAAAACAGTGAACAACCTACCTCACAAGTTTTGGTACCATTCAAAAATGTCTTGTTCAAGAACTTAGAATAATTCTCAATATTTATCTTTATACACTGGTGGAGTAATACATAGAGGCTCAGATAGAGGAATTAGAAAGCTGAGTTCAAATTCCAGTTGAGTTCATTACATTCAATTATGCACTAATACACTTGGGAAAGGTATGCATCCATTTCTTCTTCCCCTAGCTATGGGTAAATAATAAGACAGTTTGGGTCTTATAGCTTTGGGTGGTGTCTGGTCTAGAAGGACAAGAATTTAAAAAGAAAATTGAGGGCCTTGTGGACAGACAGAGAGTAACTCACACCATATTCCATGGTCTTTGGCTGCTGGTCAATAGCTTGGACATTGACTAAGCCTAGGTTAGTTTGGCAAAAGGCCATGAATGTGGGACAACCAGTAAGAAACAATCTCAGTCTGGATCCAGAAGTAGAGAGTTTATAAATGGAATAATTTAGGTAAATTTGAATATCCTTATTTTCAATTACACAGTAGGAATTGAATAATAATAAACTAGCATAATAACTATTATTTGGAAACTTTGATGTGGTATAATGGTGTAATGGTTAGTAAGCTTGTCTCACTCAATCAATTACGACTGAATAGGGAGTTTAATCCTCACTGGGTGCCCCACACTTTTAGCCTTGTGCCACATCAAAGCTATGCTTAGAAAATCACCATAAAAACCATTACTTTATTTGCATTAATTAGGGTGTCCCAGCATGGGGTAATATTTAGCAAAGCTAGGCTGGTTGATTGTTCCAACTGAGTAATAAGTTCAATCCTCACTGGGTGACACAAACAAAATCAACCAACCTATATAGATGCATTATTTCTTTGTAAAACAAGACATAGGAATAAAATCTTTCTCTGGTACTTTTGCCAAGAAAGTTTAAAAATAATATTAAGCTCAAACCCCAAGGACCATCACCTCCCAGGAAGTATCCCTCTTTTGGGAGGGACTGGGGTCATTACTCAGTGCCTGAGGAGAAATGCTGATGGGGCTTGAGCAATTTTTACATGGTATTGCTGTTAAGCCCACTTTAAACTGACCTTGTGTCACATTCGGTAGCAATGTGTGCCCACTTAAAAATACACATAGTGCAATATCTTAAAGAAAAATTAATAATTTTAGTTTTATTAAAATCAATCTCAGGATACAGTCCAAGAAGCAAAGACTTTATAAATGAATACTTCAGTTATTTCAGCATGTCCTTATTTTCAAGTACACTCTAGAAATTGAAGTCAACAATAAGCTAGCATAATAATCGTTACTTGGGCATTTTGGCATGGTATAATTGTTTCTTGCACACAAGAAATACCAAGCCATAGAGTAGTGGTTTGCTGTAGCAGCATTTTAGAATGAAAAGAAAAGACACACTGATTCAATTTATGTTATTCTTCTTATAAAATGAACATGAAATTGCATACCTGCGACTTATCACACCATGAAACCAAGGTGCAAATTCCCCGGAAGGAGCCTTGACTTCATTCATTTGTGTTTCTACAAACCAATTGATTGTTGCTTTAGGAGATCCAGCTGGTCCATATCGACTCCTCCTCTCAGATTCAAAATATTTGCCCAGTGCCTTTTGGGTGAAGTCATCTTCCATGATTTCCCCTTCACTTAATTCATCATCGGTGTCCTATAAAAAATACACAAAGCATCATTATAACAATATCATCATCAGTATCCTATAAAAACCCCCAACCATCATCATAACAATATCATCATCAGTATCCTATAAAATCACCAACCATCATCATAACAATATCATCATCAGTATCCTATAAAATCACCAACCATCATCATAACAATATAATCATCACTGTTTTCTTCTGCTTCTCTTGCCTTCAATATGTTCTATGTGTATTAAATTCTCCGGGCCCTCTTTCTTCATAATGTGTCCCAGAAAATTAATCCATTTCTTTCTTATTTCTGTCTGTACCCTTCTAGTTTTCATTTTCTTTGACACTTCCTCTTTGTCCACATTTTCAGTCCATAGTATGCTCAGCATACATTTGTAGAAACACATCTTCGTGGCTGCAAGTTTTTTTTTCTTCATTTATGATGAAATTGTCTAACATTCACTGCCATATTTAACAGCCCAGTACTTTTTTCTTTGTTTCTAATTAATTTTTCTATTTCTTTATATTTTGCTGAGTTTCTGGAAAGTATCTTTTGTTACATCAATACACCTTCCAATTTCTGTGTCACATTTTCTGTAATATGTTACTACCAAGATAGTTGAATTTATGTATGTGGTTTGATTATGATGTCACCAGTTCGAGGCTCACACATTAAGATGCTGACAACCATACCTTTTGTCTTCTTATAGTTAATGGTTAGTCATTTCTTTTCAATTTTCTTTGCTAGCTTGTTTAGGAGTTCTTGTATTTTTTAACTTTTGAGTCTACCATTAACACAATGACATCTGTGAATCTTATGTTGTTATCTTCCAATATTAAATCCTTGTAGGTCTTCAAGTTTTTTTATTGTGATTTTCTAAGTGTAGCTTACATGTGGCACAAGGCTGAAAGTATGGAACACCCAATGAGAATTGAACTCCCTCTAATTTTTTCATGATTGTCTTGCTGTATCATTTAATAAATCCAGTGAGAAAATGTGTCCTTATTTATTTTTGTGTATCTGCTTAACTCATTTCCTATCTGAATGCAGACAGTTTATTCCCAGTAAATGTTGCAGATTATTCTAATATTTTTCACGCATGAATTGAGTTATCCTAGCAGTTCAAATAGGTTTTTGTGTTTGTTATGGTAATTTACCCATGCACGCATGGACTCTCCCAGCTATAAATAGGAGCAGGTACTGCCTTTTGGAGAAAGAAGTTTCCAACACTCAGTTCTGATAATTAGACTGAACATTCTTGCTGTAACACTCTAGTTTGTATATGTTTGTATTACTCTTTCTGTTAATATATTTCTCTAACTCAATTCCTCATTTTGTGTCTTTATTTCTGGCCCTAACAAGGCCACAACAGTGTTATACCTAATGAAGTCATGGTAGAGTAATGGATAGCGGCTTGGATTGAGGAATCAGAGAGCCGAGTTTGAATTCCAGTCAAATCTATTACATTCACTTATGTGAAATAATTTAATAAGTTAATAAAAACAATAATTGAATAAGAAATAATAAATGAAGGAACATCTATAAGGATAGAAGACACTCAGTATGTTGATTTGGGAAATGTATGAATTCTCTTCTTCTTCCCACAGCTATGTATAAATAGCAGAGCAGACTGGGTTCTATAACTTTGGATGGCAACTAGTTTACTGCTGGAAAAAATCTGCCTCATCAGTCATGTATCAAAAGATACATGATTGCCTAAGCATGTATCATGCATGGCACATAACTGACTGTTATATCTAATCAAATGCTTTTGTGTAATCTGTGAAACATAGGTAGATATCTTTTTGTATATGTAAGAGTCTTAACAGATAATTAAATTAATCAGAGAAAATATTATTAAATGCTCGCAACATCTCATTTATACAGGTGTAGATTATTTTTGTGTCATACCTAACCAAATGCTTTTGCATAATCTGTGAAAGATTGTTTTGCATTTATCTCTCTAAAAGAGTCTTAACAGATTATGAAAGTAACCAGACAAATTATCTATATCTATAATTCTCAAAATGTGTGTGTGTGTGTGTGTGTGTGTGCGTGCGTGTGTGTGTGTGTGTGTGTGATTGGATGTTGTTTTTGCATTTCTACAGTTTTCATCTGATTTCAATGAAATTTTTTCGTTTGATAGATAATTCTTCAGTCCAAACTGTTGGCGACAATGGCTCTCCACTACTTCCTGTCCATTATAACTCTCAGCAACGTTTTACTATTTACTATCTATTCTTGGATATATATCTTTCATAAAAACTTTAATAAAAATAAATAGTTTAAACTATTACAATTACTATTATTTATTATTATACAGCTACATTTTCAGGGTGTCCCACCATTCAAACATTGTTACTAATATTGATTTTCGAGTGGGCTGACTTTAAACTTAAACTGTTCCAAATGAACGGCAAAAATTCCCAATAATGAAAGACCCGGTTGAAGATGGGTGATATTGCAAGTTAGTGAATATTTGCAATATCTCATCTATATACAAGCATCATTACCAATTAATTATGAAAAACAAGAGATGGCTGTTTGAATTACCTTCACTTTACTGGGTGAAATTAACTTCTTTTCCTGTTTCTTATTTGTGTCTGAAAAAAAAAAGTAATGTTCAGTTCCATAGTTTTTTTACTCATTAATAAGTTAATAAAAACAATAATTGAATAAGGAATAATAAATGAATGAACATCTATAAGGATAGAAGACACTCAGTATGTTGATTAAAAAGCATTAATAATAAGATAGAATAAAACTAGTAATAAAATAATAGTAATGATGAAGAGTATATTGACCCAAAGTGCTGGGATAAAAAGCAACAATAGTGTTGTAACTTAGGGAAGGTTACTGAATAGAATAATCAAATGAAGTTGGTAATGAATGATAATACTTAAGACAAGAACAACATATATAAGATTCATCAGCAGTGCATAGAAGAGGTAGTCAACTGCTAGAAGTAAGTCAAGTGAATTCCACACTGAATCTACAACTGCAGACCGCAGACCAACACATACAGTATTCATTACTGTATTTATGAGAATGAGGGCATACCCATTACCATCTGTAGGTATGCTACAACAACTAGTAAGATAAAAACTAGTAATAAAATATTAATTGTGAAGATACATAATCAAAAATTTCAAAATAAAAACAGTTGTAAATACCGAGGAGATCACAAGAGATAGAATCATAATAACACTTATACATATCTATATATATATCTTTCATACCATTAAGAGTTCAGTACTTTTTTCTTTGTTTCTAATAAATTTTTTCTATTTTTTTAAATTATGCTTAGTTTCTGGAAAGTATCTTTTGCAACTTCAATGCACTTTCAATATATATTTTATGCCATTTTCCTGGATTTTGGTACATATTTAAATGCAAATTGCCCAATATCTGAGTACATCTAAATTTCAGAAAAAATAAAATAAAAAACTCTTAAAAACAATATCCATTGATTTTTTGTAAAATTAAAAAATGCTCCTTAAATATACACAATATATATATATATATATATGTGTGTGTGTGTGTGTGTGTGTGTGATAAAATATAGATTTAAAGAGGTATGCTATATTTATGAACTAAATTGCTCAATATCAGTGATAGAGCATATGTAAATATAAAAGTGAACATTGAAGTCAACACCCAGAGGTGACAGTCTGTTTCATGCTTAAACTCAATCATCAGGCCTGACGATTGCTTTCAGGTCACAAAGATAGTGCCAAACAACTGAAAAACAAATGACAATATAAGAAAAGCACTTTTCAAACACTTCAAATGCCTCAACTTTGAAATAGAAGTTGATATGAATAAGAAAATTGTCAAATATTTGGATGTAGAATTACAAACTGGCATTGTCTCCCCATAGATGAAACCCAACACAAAATTAAGATATGTGAATGTTAGATCCAACCACCCTGCAAGTATAATAAAGCAAATCCCCAAAGGAATAGAGTTCAGGTTATCTAGAAATTCCTCTAGTAAAATAATTTTCGAAGATAAAAAGAAAGAATATGAAAGGAGTTTAAAAGAAGAGAGGCATAAAACAAATGGAGAACAATTCAAGGAAATAAAAAAAAATTTGGTTTAACTCCCATTTTAACTGAGACGTCAAATGTAAAACAGGGAAAATATTTTTCAAATTACTTAATAAACATTTCCCTCCAAAATTCCAAATTACATAAAATATTTTTCAAATTACTTAATAAACATTTCCCTCCAAAATTCCAAATTACATAAAATATTTGATAAAAACACAGTTAAATTAAGCTACAACTGTAATAGTAATTTAGAAACCACAATAAAAAGACAAAACGCCTGAGATTTCAAAACATGCAGCAAAACATTGTTAACAGTGAAATATGAAAATGTAAAAATAAAATTAGATGTCCATTAGATGGAGTTTGCAAAATTGAAGCAGTAATTTACAAAGCTAAAAGATACAAATGGCCAAAACAAAATATGCATAGGGTGTACTGAAGGTAGCTTCAAGAAGAGGTGGTATAATCACAAGTCATCATTCAAGCTAGACAGTCTTAGGAATTCTACCAGACTAGCCAACCATGTGTGGAAATTAAAAGAAATAAATAAAAAGATCCAATTGTAAACTTGAAAATTATAAAAAAAAAAAAAGCCAAACCTTACAACACTTGTAGTAATATCAGCAACCTTTGTCAACAAGAAAAGTTAGCAATAATAATATTACCAGACTCCAAAAAACAACTTCTGAATGAGAAATCAGAAATTATGACTTGTTGCATACACAACAAAATGTTCCCTTTGTGTTCATGTGAACTAAGATAAAAAGAAAGTATGTACATTTCATTTAACCCCCCCCACTGATACATTTCCAATACCCTTGCTTTTCTCCTCCCCTTCTATCACACATCATATCATGTGTTTATTTATTTTTAAATAATAAGCATTCATTAATTTTTTTAAAAATAAAGTGGTAAGAAATCAATTAACCATAATCACCTGAAGACACTGAAAGCTTGAAACCAAGGTAAGAGAATCAGTTGTTTCTCTAATTTTTTATATATATATATATATATATATATATATATATATATATATATATATATATATAATTTCTGTTTGAATTTATAGAATGTGGTGTTATTCTTATTTACATGCAGACTATTGTCCTCATCTTTATTGTTATTATTACAACATTTGGCCATTGTACTCTCCGCCCTTCATCAAGTGTATGTCAATTTGGGTAACCAATAGGGAATTTCGAAAAAATTAAAATAAATAAAGGCTTGAGAGCTTTATCCTGATCAACCGATTGAATATGACCTACATTAAATTCAAACTAAGCAAAAGAGGAAAAAATTAGAAATTATTTTCTTACAAATGTGTCATGCCCAAGATTTGACATCTAACAGCAGCCAGACATTAACTTAAGACTGATACCAATGGTTACAGTAAATGTACTCATGTCAGTTAACTTTCATAAGAAATAAAAGCCAGTGGGTAGAAAGGCAATATGAACAGAAATACAGAGACATGAAAAGATAGATAGATAGATAGATAGATAGATAGATAGATAGATAGATACAAACAGATTTGAATTTGAATAAAGAGATATCAAAATAGTGATAGATAGATAGATAGATAGATAGATAGATAGATAGATACTGAAAATTTTGCCAAATAGGTTATTGGGGTTTTGTTATTTACCTTTGTTGTATTTATCAAATTTGATGGTTGCTTGTTGTTGCTCATAGGCCGCTTCTCCAACAATACTTATTTGGGCAATAAGCTCCTTTATCTCATCTGCATGTTTTTTGCTGATTTCTTGCATACGCTTATATTGTCTACGAGCCAAAAATCCACGTGCCACTGGACAAGAAAGTGGAAAAAAATTTTTGACTTTTAGTCTCATATGACATGACATCAATAAGTTTACATATTATGAGATATATTTTGGTTTGAAATTTTCATTGTATAATGTCCAATGCATGTGAGGATTATTAATTATTTACATATGTGTGTATGCATGTATTTGTGCAAATTTCACTAAATTTTGACAAGTGACAAGTCAACCTATGAGAGAGCAGAAGTGACATCATTTACAATGGTCAAACTCTCTTGTAGGTTGACTTGCCATTACTGTAAGGCAAACTGAATGACAATCCATGCACATATAGATCAAAATATCACAAATAACCTAAATAATATTAAAATAAGACACATTTATATATATATATATATATATATATATATATATAAAAATTATAACATAAATATCTTATAAAATCACTACAAAAATAGCCATTTTGTTTCAACACCTTTGGTGTCTTATCAAGTGATGATGTTGAATGTAGATTGTAAAATAAATGTTTTAAAAGGTTCAAATCAACTAACCACCCTTTGTAAGAGGAAACATCATGATGTTGAATGTAGATTGTAGCTATATATATATATATATATATATATATATATATACATATATGTATATAAATGTGATACATAAAATTTTCAAAACAGTCTGCAAAGTTCTCTTTCAGTATAGCCATTGGCTGCTTCATTATATTTTCTTTAATATTATATAGTTTTAAATCTTTTCCCTTTTATAAGAAATTTCAGCTGCTTGAGTGTGTGTCATTTGCGTTGGCCTCTTGCTTAATTTTTGTATTTCAAAACTAATTTTGTTACATTTGTGGGAAAAGAGCTGCATTTGTTTTTCATCCAATAAAAAGGTTTCCCTCCAAATTCTGAGAAGTGAATTCAGAGCCTACCTGCAGGTTATAAAAGGGAGTCTTGGATTTAATTAAGGAAGTCAACAAACATTTTCTGCTAAAACACAGGTCACTCTGGTCCAGAAAGAAAAACAATACAGATGAAATTTGACAACCACCAGATGAAAATTGAAAGGAACATCAAAGTTGTTCCCACAACAACGAATTGTCTTTCGGCTGGTATAATTATTCTTTGCTGTTACCAAGAACTTTGCTTCAAAAATTGCACCAATTCTTTGAAAACTGTTTAAAGAAGTATTTTCACCTTTACTACATTCTATATGTAATTTTATTTTCTGAGGAACGGCATTATAATTTTTATTGTAAAAGGGCATATTTCATTTACATTGATAATTTACACGCATTTTATTGGCCATCATTTGGCACAAAATACACTTAATTCATTCATTATTTTGTATTAACAATAAATTTATCATTTATTCTTAAATTCAACTGATGTCAACTCTCTTTGTTGTGTGCCCATATAAATTAAAAGTTACCTCAAACATTTGTTTGAACTTTTTTTTTCATAAGGTTTTTTTTACCAAATAAAAATTCCTTTACTTTCAACGGTGACTTTAGCTCTGGGGAAAGGAGCCCAATTTTGACTAGCAAAGTTGATTGGCCAACCTGGGTGATCTGATATTTTGTCCAAAACTCCTGCATGCAGGGCTAGTGCAAGGGTCTCATGAATTTCTGAATACATGATATTGATACTATACTACATCTCAATTTTCCTAAGGTAGAATTCATATAAAATACAACTTTTATAGTAACCAAATTATCTTCAATAATGGATCATATGCAATATAGCGTAAACAATTCAACTAGAAAAATTGAAAATTAAATACAATGTATCTAAATACAAATTAGAGACATGTCATGATAGATCATTCCATCTTAAATAAAACAACAAAGTTTTGTGGCAATTTTTAAAATCAACTTGAGATTTTTCTTGTTAATATTTGAATAATTTTAACACATTCAACATTAAGGATAAAAAATAGTGAATTTTATATGGTGTTATTTTCAAAATTTAGCATGTGCAAAATAAATTCACAGATTTGATAAAAAAAGGCCACACAATGACATCAAAATTTGTGAAAATTTTTCATAATCAGTTGTGCTTAGTTTAATTTGTAATGTATAATAATTGTATTAAAAAAATACAATGAATGGTGAAGTGGTGTGAAAGTCTCTCATTGAAAGAAAGAGATAAGTAAAGCCAGCTGCAGAGGCTTACGGTAGGGAGTGTGAGTCATGACTTACTGCAGCAACGTGCTTTGGCATGTTTGTCCTTGGAGATGGGAGAACAGTTGTCTTTGGGTGTGGAGGTGGCATTCTGACAAGTGTGTAAACCATGGCTGTTGTGCTGACCGAAGATGTCTCTTTGATGGGTGATGTAGGTAGAAAAAGATTAGATAGCAAATAGTCACAAATCACTGCCAGAATCCACAATCAAATTTTACCACTTCTACTCCAACATTTTGTTCTTTATGCATCCAAAAACAGTCCCCCACAATATTCCTCCAGGAACCAAATTCTCATAGCCAGACTTAAGTCTCTAGCATTCATCTTGTTCAGACTATCTTTTGATTCTACCAATTAATTAGAATCAAATTTTCCCTTGAGCTCAAAAACTGTCTCTCTAATTTCAAAACTGGTAAAACACAATTATCCGATCACAACTCAAAATTCCATCAAGTGTGCATCAGTTCTGCACACACCTTCTGCTTTCCTCACCCCCACAAAAAAAAGAATACAATCCAATTTTTTACCCAATAGCACCCACTCCCACCTAAAGAAGTGAAATAGGAATTGGAGCTGATCTAAGCCTATGAAAGGACATAAAAGCCCATCAAAGAGACATCTTCAGCAGTTGGTCAGCACAACAGCCATGGTTTACACACTCGTCAAAATGCTACCTCTACACCCAAAGACAACTGTCCTCACATCTCCAAGGACAATATGCCAAAACCTGTTGCTGCAGTAAATCATGACTCACACTTCCTCTCCTACCGTAAACCTCTGCAGTCGGCTTTATTTATCTCTTTCTTTCAATGAGAGACTTTCACACTACTTCACCATTCATTGTATTTTTTAATACAATTATTTATTTTTTAAACCTCTGTTGTTTCTTCTTGTTTCTGCCACCATACGCTTAATATAAGATAGTCATATTTGAGTAGATGCTCCATTTATTTTACACAGTATTTATTTCATCTACCAGCTTATGTACTTGAGAAAACTTAATCAAGAAAATGTGCCCTCTGGCAGGATTTGAACCTGTGTCCCCCTTTGCAGAAGGAACCACCATTTGATCTTGCCAGAGGGCACATTTTCTTCATTAAGTTTTTTCAAGTATGTCGGCCAGTAGATGAAATAAATACTGCTTAAAATAAATGGAGTGTCTACTCAAATATGTATATCCATTAAAAATAATGTTTGAATTAATAAAAATCTCTCAAAAGACAAAAATTAAACATGAATTTTACTTTATTTTTAATGAGGTTCATTAATTTCTTACCTCTTTGCACATTTTTTGCTGCTTTGTTAACCTCAGTGATTCGATCTCCAAGTTGTTCCATTTGTAAATATTTCAGGAATACCCTTGTCTTTCTGAAATTGTCAAAGAATTTTTCTGTCTGAATTCCTGGGATGAGAAGTTAACATTATTTACAGTCAGACAAAAGAGGTTTATAATATTGATTCATGAATTTGGTAGCATAGTAATTGTGAGTTCAATCCCAGGGTCAAGCAATGCAGATTCAAACTCAGTGGAAACAGGACCAGCAATAATTGAGCCGTACTAAGAAGAAAGAACAAAACAAAAGATTCCTAGACATGGGCAACAGAACAAGAATAATGTATGACCATTCATTAAATAAAGGATTCAGTTCAAAATTCCCTGAAGGTTACCTAGATCAACAGACACCTGAAGAAGGCCATAGAGCACAAAAGCCGAAATGTTATGACAACAACAAAGATGAGGACATTGGTCTGACTGCAAATAATGTAAATAAAGGAACTTTTTTCATGGTATGATAATAGAGTGAACTGATTCAAGCAAGGAATAAACACTGGTATCAGTCATGACTGTATAAAAATGTAAGGCTTAATTTATGACCATTCAAAGAAGATAAAAGTAATGATTTTAGATGTCCAAGTAAAAATAAGTGATTAATCTATGAATAGTACTTTTGGTTGAAGAACTTATGGTATATAGGGATGAAGGTTGGGCTTATACATAAGTAAAGGCCAAATTTACTGCCTATAGTACCATTTTATTGTTGACTTCATTTGGTTACAGTCATTAAAGTGGGTGACTATCATCTAAGTCCTTTTTGTGATTTGAGAGTTCATACAGGTCCGTTGTGTTTTGGGCTGACAGAAATTAATTTGTTGAATTCATCCTTTCTTCTTTTTCTTCTGGAGTTTTACATCAGGTCAAACTCACTGCCGATGAATGTCCAACCCTTGCATCTCGATCTGCTACATCGAACCAATTTCCCACTTCTCTTCCTGTTTCTTCTGCTGCGCACATGGTTTTTTCCTTCTTTTTATTGTGCCTGACACATCTGTGTTTTCTGTTTGGTTTTTGGCAGAATATGTTGTCATTGGTTGATTTTTTTATGAAATTCACTGACCCACATAAGCTATGTCTGGGTTCTGTCAGTTACTGAGGATAAGAACAATAGAAGGAAGGAAAGGAAAATGTGTAATAGAGAAGAGTGAGAGAGTTTTCTTTGTCACTCTCTTAGTGAAAAGGAAAGTTTATATTTCCATATGGTGATACTACTACATAATCCTATGACAAACTGAAGGAAAAACCAAATAAAGAAAAAATGACTTACTGCTGACACAAGGACTTCACACATGTATTGAATATAAAGAAATCCAGAAAAAAAAGATGGACACTCATAAGACGAATATTTAAGAATATTACAGTCTCACAAATACAATAATTTGCTGGTAACATACAAATTTCCAACCATTGAAAAGAATGTAAAAATTGCATTACTGATAGGGAAATTGTTTTAGATCTTACAATCATTACTTAGTCAAGTGTGGATTTTTGGCAGTGAACGAACGGTAAGAACACAGAAGCTAGAGAAGAAAACAAAAAGAAGAGGAAAGAAAAAAAGATTTATATTTGCCAAAGCAAATATCAAAGAACTGATGAGAAAGACAGTGAAATTAATTCACTCACAAGTGAACACAAACTGCAGTACTATAAAAAATAGCAGAGAAATAATAATGAGCAATGTAGAAAAGAAATGAGTTAACAGAGCATCTGGCAATAGAAGGAAAGCAAAACAATGTATAGCTTGTGTGGTGATATAAAAATGACTGCCTAATTAACATAACTAAGGCATAGACTATATAAATGCTTAAGCAATAAGGGTAAAGTAGCTCTCAGTATACAAGATAAATGACTACAGCTGGACTGATAACATATGAAATCACACTTCATAACAAATTGATTGATTTGTTTTTTATGACTTATCAACATTTTGCAGGTTATTTAAAGCCAGAAAATATTTTTAGATTTTAAGAAATTTTTGGAGATAATAATGATTTACTGATCAAAGTCCTAAGTTAATTAACCCATAGCTGGTAGGAGAAGAAGTGGGTTCACCCCCTTCCTAAGGTTACTGGAATATAATGAACCCAACTGGAATTGAAACTCAACTCTCCAATTTCCAATTCTGAGCCATTATCCATTACACCACATGCATATCCAGCCTTACTGTACCTGGTATTTGCAAGTGGTCACCCATCTAGATACTGACCATGCTCAATGTTGCTTAACTATTGATCATATGAGAACTAGTGTTTCAATGTGATATGGCAAGTAAGCCTAACAATGTATAGAAGAAGCATAAGAAATATAAGGAGTATAAAAAAAAACACTATCTTTTTGGGATATGTAGTAATATATTTGCACATTAAAGGTTGCCTTATTTACATATTTTAAGTAAGAGAATATAAATGGTCGACATGACGTAGCAAGAGTCATTAGTAATCTTGGTCACATTAGTAGATGTACTAAGCAACTTGTGAATAACATTGAATTCACTTTAACACATACAAATAGTTTCTATCTTAATCAATATGCTAAAAGGCCAATCACTGAAACCGAATGAGTATGATATTTTTATATCTTCAGAACATGAGATCAAGTTTGGTTCTCCTGCACCGATTCTGCATTGTAAATGAGGGAAATGATTTATAGGATTTTGTAACATATCAACCCTAGTAGAATTATTTTATGTTGAAATTTGTTTGCTTTTTTATTATTAGACTTGAGTCCATCAGTAAACAATGTTTATGCATGAACCTGAAAGTTATACAAATTTATATATGAAATTTCTTGTAAATTCTTGTCCAATTCCACTCTCAACTCATCAGGTGTATCTTTGCCTGATTTTACTCTTAGAACAGAATCTTTACTGAGTGATATGTACATAATTCCATCCATGGTCTCTACCATCATTTCTAAACTAGATCCGCACAAAGCTGAAAAGTAATGAAGTTTTATCTCTACAAGTAACTTTTTCATGGTTTTATCAATGGAGTCAGTTTTATATATATATGGAGGGAGAAAGAAAAATAGGAAAATCTTAGGCCTTGGTACTCGCAAAAAAAGATGTTTTTTTCCCTTGAAACCACTATTATTTTAACTACCTCCACTATTTGGCAATGTTTATTGTTTTAAAAAATAATAATTATAATTTTAATAAAACTTGGACATCTGAAAGTGAATTTATACATTTTACTTGTTTTTGAGAATTAACAACAAAAATAATAAACATTATTTATTTATTAGATTGTTTATTGGAATGGTTGACAAAACATTAGCTCATTAGCAATCAATTCAAACTTTATAAAATGGTAACTAATATAAAACTTTTTTTTTTTCTTTTTTTTACAGTAAGGTTCACCCTATACAAGGCCCAGGGACCACTCAAGGTAGAGAGTTACAATAAAGGGTAGTCTATATGGATAGGAAGTGAAGATAACAGCTGACCCTAGACTTAAACAGGCTAAGATTATAGCGATTGGGGAAACACTCTCTAGGGAGTCTGTGCTATAGGGCAGTGGTTCATAGGAAGAAGCTATTTGAGAGGAACTTACTTCTCACCAATAGTATACAGAGGTAATGTGGGGGGTTGGCTACAATGTAAGTGGCATGGCCAGTCCCAGCCATGAAGGTCAGACTTGGTGGAACAAGGAGATACAGTTCATCCAAGCACTTTCCATGGTAGTAGCAATGTTTTTTTTATAAATTAATACATATTGCATTAGTTTTGATACAACAAACACTGGTTAAAATCTTACATTGAAAGTGATAGAGATGTCTGGTGTATCTAGATGTATAACATTTTTTTAAGCATTTCACCCCAAGCAAGATAGGATTGCCACTGGTTCACAGGGGTTTACATAGAATGAAGGTGAGAGAAAATCTAAGTAAAATGGGAATGGGAAAAGAATAAAAGTTGAACGGGGTTCAAGGCACCAGAAGATGGCATTGCATTTAAATTTTTGAAGATTGTAGTTATCAGGGAAGCAAGAAACAGAAGGGAATTCCACAGATGGGAAGTGCAAGGAAAGAAACTGTTAGAGTAGAAGCGGCAGTTGCATTTAGCAATTTCAGCCATAAAATGGTGAGACCTAGATGCTAATCTAGTAATATGTTTAAATTCATGTAGTCAGGGTACCAAGGAAAAAAAGCTCATCAGAGCAGTTGCCATGAAAATATTTGTAGAAAACACAGAAGGAAGCCATATCACATTGGTGAGAAAGTGACTGAAGTTGAGATGCCTGATCAGGATCGATAACATTGCAGATCTTTGTTCACTTGACATCAAATCCATTCAAACTTCTTTATTTTTTAACAAAATGTATACATTTCATGTTCATTTCATAAGGAGTAATTTTCACTCAGATTCTCCTCCAAAACTGTCACTTTGTGGAACAAATTCCTGAGATGATGTTTTCTTAACAACTATAATCTTGGTGTCTTTAAGTCCAGGGTCAACCAATATCTATCCTACATGTTCTTTTAATATGCATTTCTTAATTCCTCCTCCCCCATCCCTTATAACAAATTCACTCAGTAATTCTCTACCCTGAGTGACCATTGGGTTTAGTATTGGGCGAAATAACAGTAAATAAAAATAAAAAATTCCTTACTTCCACCAGTTCAGACCTTTATAGCTAAGGCTTTCATGGAGTCAAGTAGATTTTTCTGAGGATGCTACATTACTACCAATGACTGAGAAGAACTAAGATGCTTACTGGACAAATTGGGGAGAAGAGTTATACTGAAAATAAGCTATGAAAAAAAAAACAAGTCAACAATTTGGCCAAGGAGCTGGAAACAGATAAATATTGACTGGAAACAAGATTTGTCTATATTTCTGAGATGAGGTATTATGTACAGTATTTACATTAGTCGGACAAAAAAAAAATTGCAATATGAGCACTGGTAAAAATGATGCTGGAAACATTAGGTTTATAATACTCAGAAGTTCATACCTCAAGGACACATGGCACAGTGGATAAAGGCGTTGGTTAGATCTAGTGACAGACCCAAAGAAGGTGAGTTCAATTCCTGGTTAATGCAGTGGAGAACTTTCAGAGGGAAAATTAGCAGGAGATAACTGATAACTGACATCCATCAAACATGGCACGTGGAATTAGAACAGTCTTCCAGTGATCGAAATAAAGGGTTCAGTTCGAAATTCCAACCACCTGAAGAAGGCCGGAGCGTACAACGGCTGAAACGTTATGACAAATATATCAAAGATGAGGACAATAGTCCGACTAATGTAAATACTGGAAACAAGATCTGATTTGTATACATTAGAAATGTAATAACAAATGAAAATGACACAAAAGAGGATGTCAAGTGTAGATGTTTTTTCACCCTAAGTAAGACAATAAAGCCACTAAGGGGTTACTGAGTGTGAAAGAATAGGAGAAAAATAAAAACATTATTAAGATGATATAACAATAAAAGAACAGAAATTAAGAATACAGAAACTAATGCAAAATGCAATTAAATTTTTGGAAGATCAAAATTGACTGTAAAGCAGGAAGCCAGAAAAGTGTTCAATGAGTGAGAAGTGAGAAGTACAAGAGAAGAAACTTCCAGTATAAAACTTAAAGTTACATCTAACCATTTCAACTATAAAATGTTGAAAACTAGCTATCAATCTAATCTTCTTCTATGTGCTGTGTTCCTTCAGGATGTTGGCAATCATGGCTCTACAACAATTTTCTGTCGTTTGTAGCTCTTAATATATTTTCTATTTTTGTTATCTCTCCTACAACCTCTTCTATCATCCATTTACTCAAGCTCACTAGGTAGGTTATGCATTGTTTTCCTCTATATCTCTTGCCTTCAATATGTCCTGTGAGTATCAAATTTTCCGAGCCCTCTTTCCTCATTATGTGCCCTAGAAATTTCAACTGCCTCTTCCTGATGTTAAGTATGTTTCATTTTGTTTCCATTTTCTCTAAAACTTTGTCAATTCATGTATTCTCAGTAATCTTCTGTAGAACCACATTTCTGTCACTTTAAGTCTCTTCTTCATCTGTAAGATTTTCCAGTATTCACTGCCATATAGGAGAACTGATATTACAATATTTTTTTCTTTGTTTCTATTGAAGTTTTTCTTTGTAAAGTCAAGGTACTAAAAAGGAAAGCTCATCAGAACAATTACCATGAAAATATTTACAGAAAAGGCACAAAGAAATTATGTTATGTTGGTGAGAAAGTGACTGAAGCTGAGATGCCCGGTCAGGACTGATAATATTGCAGATTCTTCTTTGGATTTCATCAAGTCTTGGGAAGGCAACAGCAGTCTTTTGAAAAATCAAAACAGTCTGGTCAATGTTTTCATTTATACCAACATAAATATAGACCTGTGCAATATCATATTAATACCAACAGTCTGCGAAATGTGGAAGGTAAGACTAACTAGCTCCAAATGTTGGATATCAGTTGAGGAAAGACCTTTTGGCCTTACTTCGCGACATCAGTGTGTGAGCAGAAATCAGAACTGGTGATATGACAAACTTATATTCTAAAAAATATTATTAGAAATCATTTGGATTTAAATTTGAACAGGGTGTATTTCTCTTGAACAGATCATACAACCATGATTATCATTATTCCCCAGCATGAGCAGATTGGTGAGAACAAATCATTCAATTCTACTTACCCGATTTGATATCCTGAAATGTCATTCTTTTTCAAAATCTTCAAACAATTTTCCTTAGTTTCTGACATTTCCCACTCACAAACCAAAATCTTATACCTGAAAAGGAAAGTCACATGATCAGAAAAATTAGATTTGTTAGTGAAAAAAAAAAGTAAATATAAATGATTACTGTATTTTCTTGTTCATAATACGAGAAATTTTGAATGAAAACCTTGTATTCTCAGTTGAATAAAGCTTTCTTAAAGCCTACACCTGCATACTGTTATGCATAATCAAGAGTGGTCTCCCCTTGTCTTGTTACTCTCCTCTTTCAGAGAGCTACTTTTGTTTATTGGAACTATAAAAGGATGCTATATGCAAACCTTGTATTCTCAGTTGAATAAAGCTTTCTTAAAGCCTACACCTGCATACTTTTGTCATTACAATTGGTTTTCAGACTTAAATTAAATTAACATAATGTTTTAATTGGTATTATGAATAATCAAGAGTAGTCTCCCCTTGTTACTCTCCTCTTTGAGAGAGCTATTTCTGTTTACTGGGACTATAAAAGGACACTATATGCAAACTTTGTATTCTCAGTTGAATAAAGCTTTCTTAAAGCCTACACCTGCATACTTATGTCATTACATAAGTTTTAATGTAATGTTTTAATTTATATACAACTCACACCTGATTCACTTTAAACACTAGTAGTATAAAATAGGTTGGGGGGGTCAGTCTTTTTCAAGGAAAGTAACTCATGTTAAGTTTATTTATCCTTACCGGTTGACAAATTCAGCAAATGTTGGCCGGATTGCATATCCTTCTCGACGGATTTTAGTCGTCTCAAGAACACCAGTATATTGCAACTAGAAGAAAAGATTTGGAAAAAATTTAGTTGTAATATCAATGCACCACTCTCTAATAGTTAATAATTACTTCATTGAATAGCAGACACTTTTATTTTTTTAATCAAGCAAGGCAATAAAGCTACTAAGATGCAAGGGGTTACTTACTGTGTGTGGCAGAATGTAAGAAAAAGAAAACATTATTAAAGCGAGAACAATAAAAGAACAGGAATTAGGAAGATGATAATGATTGACATTGCATTTAAATTTTTTTGATTAAATTTCTGTATCTAATACTGACCAATAAATTTTTGTAACTACTTGAAATAGTTAAAAAAATGATGAAAAACAAAATAGTAAAAAAACCTTACTTGCAAGGTGCTTAAAATAAAATTATATAATCTTTTTTTTATTAAATTGTCTATCAAGAGGAAACTATTCAAGATATAAAAAATATTCTTAAGTAAATGGAACTCAGAGGTTGGTCAGGTTAAAAAATGTAAGTTTTCTTTTAACAATTTGGATCAATCTGTATTTGCTGTATTTTCCTAGGTAAAAAATCAATCATTACCTTGCAGATATACAATTCATTGGCTACTGTGGTTGAACCGCTGGGATCATTTTTGCAACATTCAACAATAAACTGAAAGCATTCTAAACCCTTGCACATATTTTGAATTTTCAAATCGGTATCAGAGCAAATAAATTTAAAATAAAGGTTTCCTAAGCAAAAATATGCAACTAGAGCTGGGCATATATCAGATTCACCAAATTCAGATGGCAGCTTTGGTCGATCATCTTTCAACGAGTTGTTATAGTCCATATAATGTTTACCAGCAGGTTGATATTCTTTAGAGAAATGAGGAGTACAATATCTATCTTACACTTGTCTAAGATAAAGTTTCTCTCAACTGAAGATCTGATGGAAATAAGGATGATATTTTAGAATTAAACACAACTATTTACTTTTATTATGTTATTTTATATCTACGTTAAAGAGTTCATTCCATGAAATGTTTGTAACCCTATTAATAATAATATTAGAGTTATCAATACAAAATTTGTATTTATACTATTTACATCATTTGGATTGTTGTCCTCATTTTTATTAACATATTCGCGATGTTTCGGCAGTTGTACGCTCCGGCCTTCTTCAGGTAATATATGTTGGAATTTCAAACTGAACCCTTTATTTAATCCCAACAACACAAAGCTCAGTGGACAAAAGCATTAGTTGAAGTAATCCAAAAAGTGACTTGACCCAAAGAGATGTGAGTTCAATAAGTGGCCAAGGGAACAAAAAAAAGAACTTGGAGAGTTCAGTTACTAAAGGGAATTAACTGAAACTGATATATCCAAAAAACAGGCATGGCAATCTACCCCTGTGGACCAAATAAAGGGTTTGAAATTCCAACATATATCACCTGAAGAAGGCTGGAGTGTGCAATGGCCAAAATGTGAATATGCCAATAAAGATGAGGGTAACAGTCTGAATAATATAAATAGTGTAAATAGTTAAATAGTAAAAATACAGACAGATACAAAATACTATATTCAGTGTTGCTCTCCCTTGACTTACCTTATTGAGCCTGTTTGTTACATACATGAATCTATCACCAAACAAAACTAGTAATAAAATAATAAACAGCAACTATTTACTTTTATTATTTTAAATATATCTGTATATATTCATATATAGTGTGAAACCCAGGGTCACAAATTCACATTAATCTAACCAAATATGTTAGCTCTATCTCTGATATTGAGCGCTTTCTAATAAGTACTGCACATATAATATATTAATAATAATATATATAATATATTACACACACATACATATATATATATATATATATATATATATTTATATTTATATACACACACTTTTAACATATATTTATATTTATATACACACACTTTTCACATATATATATATATATATATATATATATATGTGTGTTATCATCATTATTATTATTTTTTTTATTTTAAGAGATTATAATAAAAACATGTTGAAATCACTACACAAAAGCTTTCATGTTATAATACTTTGTACTTCTTCAGACGATTGCAAGTAACTGGTGATTAAATGATTTTTAAGAAAATTTCAAAACAAAGTTTTACCTTTTTTCCATAAGTTAAAGGGGGGAATACATAAGGTCAGAATTAAAAATAGATTTGTGGGTATGTCTTGATTAACCAATTAGATGTCAGATCTATTTATCTACAATCATGATGCATTTGTCACTGACATATTTTCCACAATCATCAATGATGACCTGTCTATGTTCCGGTTTATCATGACATAAAAAAATAACTCACCCACCTCCATCCACTGAGTTTACTTTTTTATTTAGCATAGATCTGACATTTCTCTCATTTATATATATATATATATATATATATATATATATATATATATATATATATATATATATATATATATATATTGTGTTAATAAAATAATTACACTCCATCTCCTATTACAATAACTATTCATTATAATAAATATAATGTTTTTCAGTGCTAAAGCTGACATTGTCTAATAAAACTTCATAAGTTTCTACTTGGTGTTATTATATTATATACACATGAATATTTCTTTAAACAATAATAATCAACTAAAACTAGTAATAAAATAATAAACAGCAACTACATTTATTATGTCTGTATATCTATATATATATATACATAAATTTATCAACAATAAGTTGGATCTAGTTATACAATTCATAATAATAGGCACCTATTAAAAAAATAAGGTCTTTGTTGATGGCACAGTTGACTCTTGTTTTTCTTTTTACAATAATGTTCCCTCTGTACAAGGCCTCAGAGTCACTCAAAGTAGAGAATTATAGAGTAAGACATAAGAGGTAAGGAGTACAGATTATGAGGGTATGTGGGGAAGATAACAATTAATCCTAGACATCTTATTTACCAAAGAAGAATCAGCAATATTATTGGTCCTGATCTGGTATCTTGGCTTTAGTCACTTGTCCACCATCATAAGGTTGCCTTTCTGTGCCTTTTTTATAAATACTTTAATGGTAACTATTCAGGTGAGCTCTTTGCTATGGTACCTAGACTGTATAAGTTTGAGCACAATAGTAGACTGGTGGCGAGATCTCATCAATTTACAGTTAAGCTAGCTAGATGTAGCCGTAACTTCTATGCTGACAGTTTCTTTTCTCGCACTTCTCACTTGTGAAACTCCCTTCTGGCTCCATGCTTTTCAACCAACTTTTATCTTCAAAAATTTTAATGTGGTATCAATCTCCATCTACTGTCCTCCTGATTATTCTTTTCTCTTTCTCCCCATTACTAATGTTTCTGTTCCTAATTCCTCCACACCCTGTAACCCCTTGCATGCTAGTGGCTGTACTGCTTTGCTTGGGGTAACACAAATAAAAAAAAAAATTGAACAGTTTAAGATTATAGTGATGGGGTAAGCAACCTCTTGGGAGTTGGTCTCACAAAGCAACAGTTCACATGAAGAAGCTGCTCAAGTGGAACATACATCTCACCAATGGAATATAAAGGGAGTAAAGATGGTTCACTGCAATGTGTGTAGCATGGCTGGTCTTAGCTGTGTACATTAGAACTGGGGGAAATAAGGAATATAGTTCATCTATTGTTTCATATTACAGCATATATATGAAATTATATTATTTTTTTTTAAGCATTTTAAGCAAGGCAGGAGTGTCACCAGCACGCAAGGGGTTACAGAGAGTGGGAGCAAGAGTAAAAAGGTGAAATAGAGGAAAGGATGAAGAGAAGGACAGAGAATAAATCAAGACATCTGGAGATGACAATTGACATTGCATTTGAATAGTTAAAGATTATAGCTATCAGGGAAGCAAGTAAGAGGAAGGGAGTTCCACAGACGAGAAGTGCAAGACATGAAGCTATTGGAGTAGAAGAGATGGCTACATTTAACAGTTTTGACAGTTATATATATACATTTTTACTTACTTGTGCCAAAATATATTTTTCATCAAATAATTGTGGCTTCCTTTGATGATTTGGCTTCAGACAGCGAACAAATATTGGAACAGCGGAATTCATTTTTTCCATCAGAACTTTGAGTGAATGCTAAATAAAGAAAGAAGAAATTCTTAGGAATCAAGATAAAATTATGTTTTAGTCATATTACTTCATACTGCCATTTATTTCTCATCTTATTTAAAATTAAATATCAATGATAGTACATTATTTAAATAAACAAGAATAAAAATTCATGCTAAATATATAATCTCTATCTATAAAAGGCAGGATGTGTGTGTGTGTGTGTGTGTGTGTGTGTGTGACGAATGCACAGATGCAATTTTTGATGGATTTGCACCAAAATTTACATGCACATGCTCCAAATTAGCAGGAAGGCCAAGACCAATTTTGCATTTCCCAACTCCCATCGATAGTGGAAATAATTGATTTTTTTTCATGCTTCTACAGCAGTTTTCATGTAGTTTGCGGCCATTTTGTACTGGCCAGAGTGAGAGCCTATAGCTGGCTGCCACCAATAGGCAGGAAGATTCTATTGGCCAGCATGAGAGTCAACAGCTGACACAAATGTTAACTAGCATGCAAAAAAATTGATAGCTGCATTCATCACAAGTGGGAAAAATTTAAATCTGCATCGCACTTTATTCCAGTTGGCTCATTCGCTTGCTTAAACTCAACGTTGATTCAGATTCCGCAGAACTGGGTTGGGTGTGAAAAAGTATTTATTGTTAACATTCTTTTTTCATTTTGTTTTTCCAGTTACAAGTTCTTTTTTAAAGCTGATTGTTTTGTGTTCATTTTGTTTAGTTCTTTTTTCGTAACAGATTTAATGTTTAGTATAGGGCTTAGAAAAAATTTGCAGTGTGAGATAGGCAAGAAGTAAGGCATGTAGCAACATCAGCATGGCAAAGTAAGGGCAAAAATATTTTAAGTCAAGTGATAGCAATTGCTGTATGAGTCGTACGATTTTTGAATCAAGCACGGGCAACACTGAGTCGTGCTGCTAGTATATATATAATTATAGTTATATTTTGGTCTGATGATGCCTTAAAGTAAGAAACTGACAGTCTCCATTCATTGTTGATTTCTATTTTCACTCTGTTTATATCTAATATATGGTGGACTCTCCTGTCGTATTTGATGTATGAGAGTCAAGCATCACAATTCCTAGGAACTGACAGTCCAGACACCAGCACATATGATTTGATTATAGTGGTGAAGGCTTTGTGCAGAGATCTGTTGCACTACATGTCACAAGGTCCCCAAACAACCTCCGCATGTTTTGAATTAAGAGTTGTCTCCTAGACTAGTTGCCATCCAAGGCTACAGAACCCAGTCTGTCCTTCTATTTACCCATAACTGGAGGGAGAAGAAGAGGATTCATACCTTTCCCAAGAGTATTAGCACGTATATATATATATATATATATATATATAGATAGATAGATAGATAGATAGATAGATAGATAGATAATTAGGAAAAGACTTAAATATTCATCATGTAATCAGTTATAAATTTATTTCAACAGATATACATATATATACCTGCCTCATCAGACTGACTACATTTTATTAAATGATATAAGTTCAACCAAACAATCCGATGATAAACTAGACATTTTAAAAAAAAATTTTAAGTAAAAAATAAAAAATAAACAACAACAATAAAAATAAAAAATGAAGTAGTGAAATTAGCATGACCCCAAAAAAAATGACGGGGGCGGGGTGGGGGGCTAAACAAATAAATAGAGAGTGTAACCACTCCCAAAATTTTTTAAGGTCAAGTTAATTTCAGTAATTCAGTTTTTATTTTTATTTTTTTTATTTTTTTATTTTTTAAATGTCTGGTTTATTATCAAATTGTCTGGTTGAATTTATATAATTTAATAAAACGCAGTCAGCCTGATGAGGCAAGTATATGTATGTATGTATGTATATCTGTTGAAATAAATCTATAACCAATTATACGATCAATATTTAAGTCTTTTCCTTATTTATTTATATTGCTCTGTATATAAATTTATACAGTAAGTTCCTATCATGGATTTAACTTTTTAATATTTTTATATTAAAAATACCTCCTTGGAATAATCCCAATCACCTAATTTGGTATTATATATATATATATATATATATATATATATATATATATATATATATAGAAAAGGTTTCAAATTAAAAAATAATAATGTTTTATTTTATGAAAGTATTTATTTATTTATATATATATTTGATATTTCAAATTGTCCTCAATTTTTCATCAGAAATAACTGTTTGTTACAAATAAATTAAAATTACTGTTTGTTAGCAAGTAGCGTCCTTCGCGAGACGCGGACGTCACGTGATATGGAACGTCACTGTTCGGATATTCCTAACTTAAATCTAACTGTCATAAATATTTTAAATGTTTAAAAAATTTTTTACTATATCTAAAAAAAATTGCTTAACTATTGAAATATTTATAAAGATTTAAAACACCTAAGTCCCTATTCAACCCTAGTTTATGTGTATTTAATTTTAAAATCCAATATGTTTCTTTTTTTCTGCATGTGAATGTGGAAGTAAAATCGGAATCTATCAATAAACATTTGCAGTTTTCTAATGTGTGTCCTGATTGATTGTAGTGTTTAGCTATGGGGGAATAATATATATGATTAATGTGAGTAAAAGTTTGTCATTAGCTGATTGATGTTACCTTCAGCATACAGCGTGTATCAAAAATACTTTTACAAACTTTAGGGGCAGGTTATTCACACCAAAAAGAACAAATTTGTCTGCAAATCCTTCATTTTTGAGTTATTATATTTAAAGTTTACAGTAAATGCTGCTAAATGTAAAATCAAAAAAAAATTACAAACTTTGGGGGTTGATTCCTGACACCAAAACAAGTTAAAATGTCCATATAAACATATATCCAGAAGGCCATCATTGTACCTCAACACAGCAACTCATAAAAAATGTTCAAAATGTCCTCCACTTGCTTCTACACATGCATGTGCCCTTCAGATCATCGACTGGTAGACCCTTTCAAATACTCCAACACAGTGTTAAATGGTTTTGCAGGCCCTATGACACATTTATGAAGCATCTCTGCATTATTAATATCTTCTGCATAAACCAATTGTTTTAGGTGACCCCACAAATAAAAATCCAAAGGATTGAATTTGGGGGAACATGCAGGCCATGGAACCAGTCCTCTACAACCTATCTATCATTCATGGCAAATGTCAGCCAATGCATCATGAATAATGTGACTAAAATATGCAGGAATCCCATCATGCATGAACCACATACTTCTTTATATTAGCAGGCATACATCCTCTAGCAGGTCTGGAAGTGTGTTTGAAATAAAGTCCCTGTAGACAGCTCCTGTAACTTGTGTTGGGAGAACATAGGGACCTACCAGAGAGTCACTTACACAATTCCAGCACACACATTAATCGTAAACTGATGCTGGTGTCTAGCCTGTATTTTAACATAAAGATTCTGATTTGCCCACAAATGCTGGTTGTGTAAATTTGTTATTCTCTCCCTTTCAAATGTTGCTTCATCCGTAAACAAAAGAAACAAACAATGAATTGACAGTTTGTGCAATAAATCATCAACAAAAGTTCTCCCATGTTGAGTGATCGGAGAGCAAAAGACACTGCATGCATTGCAAATGATACGGATGCAGGAGCTGCTCTTGAAGTACCCTCCATGTGGTACTATGAGATGTGTAATATGCTACAGGTATGCTGATACTGGGATTGTCTCCAACAGCCTGTAGGTCTTCATGGTCAGGAGTATGAGCAGATCTCGGTCTTTCTTGATCCATAGTTTGTGGTGCCACAGATCCTGTCTCAGCAACACAGCAATAAACAGCAGCAAAAGTTAGATGATTTGGCTGACTTCAATCTGGAAACACAATCTGATACAGCCATGCAACCTCATGTCCATTACTATTCACATGGTGTTATGTAAAAATCATATGTGTCTGCAAATGATATGAATATCCTGCCATTGTCAAACAGAAGACTTTTCAGCTTTACCTGTACATTGCGCCATCAATTAATTGTCAAAAATATGTTCATAGCCTAACATGTAAGTCAAATTTCACTTTTTATATGAACAACTTTGTACTGGCCATTTGCTGCTGTACACTGGATTTTTCTATTACACAATCAGTTTTGAATAAATGAAATTTCAAAATGTTCATGGATAATGTATTGGCAACTGGTCAGAGTTTAGTGTTTAATAGTTTAGGGAACATGCTCCAATAGATACAAGAAGGAAATCGACTGATTACTTACCTTGAATTGGGCACCAACTGTGAGTTTACGTTGTTTGTCTTCTTTTCGATTCACTTGTGTTGTATTAAAAGCCATCTATGAAACAAAAAGTAAAGATGTCATCATTGTATCAGAAAACAGACAAATATAAAATGCAAAAATGAAACAAGTTATTTCTAGACAATATAATAGATATCCATTTATAACATAAAAATAGACAATATAATATAGACATTTATAAAATAAAATAGTCAATATAATAGATATCCATTTATAAAATAAAAATAGTCAGTATAATAGATATCCATTTATAATATAAAAAAATAGTCAATATAATAGATATCTGTTTATAATACAAAATAGTCAATATAATAGGTATCCGTTTATAATATAAAAATAGTCAATATAATAGGTATCCATTTATAATATATAAATGGTCAATAGATATCCATTTATAACATAAAAATAGTTAATATATATATTTATAATATAAAATAGTCAATATAATAGGTATCTGTTTATAATATAAAAATAGCCAATATAATAGATATCGATATATAGCATAAAAATAGTCAATATAATAGGTATCCGATTAGAATATAAAAATAGTCAATAGATATCAATTTATAGCATAAAAATAGTCAATATAATAGGTATCCGATTAGAATATAAAAATAGTCAATAGATATCAATTTATAGCAGAAAAATAGTCAATATAATAGGTATCCGATTATAATATAAAAATAGTCAATAGATATCCATTTATAACATAAAAATAGTCAATATAATAGGTATCCGATTAGAATATAAAAATAGTCAATATATATCAATTTATAGCATAAAAATAGTAAATATGATAGGTATCCGATTAGAATATAAGAATAGTCAATAGATATCCATTTATAACATAAGAATAGTCAATATAATAGGTATCCGATAATAATATAAAATAGTCAATAGATATCCATTTATAACATAAAAATAGTCAATATAATAGGTATCCGATTATAATGAAAAAATAGTCAATAGATATTCATTTATAACATAAAAATAGTCAATATAATAGGTATCCAATTATAATATAAAAATAGTCAATAGATATCCATTTATAACATAAAAATAGTCAATATAATAGGTATCCAATTATAATATAAAAATAGTCAATAGATATCCATTTATAACAGAAAAATAGTCAATATAATAGGTATCCAATTATAATATAAAAATAGTCAATAGATATCCATTTATAACATAAAAATAGTCAATATAATAGGTATCCAATTATAATATAAAAATAGTCTATAGATATCCATTTATAACATAAAAATAGTCAATATAACAGATATCCACAAGATAAAGATAGTGCTCTGTTCGGTTATAATTCAGTCCTTTGGTGGTGAAATTGGAGCAAACTCTCCATGACATAAGCCTAAGTGATGACATATGAAGAGCGTCTACTGCTCAGACACCCTCTCTCAGCCATACTGACAAGATCCAAAGGAATACAGGTCATTACATTTGGGGAATGGCTTGGCTGCAGGAGTTGCCAGAAAGTTGTCAATGTTGACAGCTAATCACCTTTGGGGTTTCACTCTGGGTTTTCTGTCTTCATTTACTTACATAGCCTTTTCCATGTTTGGAGATGACTGCAAGGCAATGGAGATTTCAAATCAGATTTTTCCTTCCCCTAGATAGACTGTCTTCCTGGGCTGTTGACCTACATTTATCCAAAGCAGCTGGATATGAGGCACCAGTTTTCGGTCTTCGCCTATTCTCCCCCATGGAACTGGACTTAGTTGTCAGAGACTATTTGAGATGCATGCAACAGAAACATTTTATAGACAGTAGGTGTTTGTCCAAACTGTCATCCCTGGCTATGACAACCTTTGGAACATATATAATGTACATATATACATTACATGATGTAGACAGTATACTTACAAAAACTTGAACGAAAGGAAGAAAGTGTAATTGCTTCTGTGAATATTTTTAAGTTTATTTACACTGTCTTTACATCAGATTTTTTGAAGGAAATTTTTTTTCAAAAAATCACCTAAAGTTTGTAGGTATATCTAAATTTTAGAAAAAAACCCTCTTTAAAAAACTGGACATCTTGCACTAATGAGTTAAATTATTTCAGCATCCTAGCTTAGCAGGAGCTAGTTAAACCAAAAAAATATTATTAATTATTAAATGCAGATTAATATGAAATAATTACTATTACAAAAATAATAACTAGCTAAAATACCCATAAAATTTAACGGTTATCCTATTTTAAATTTTTACTGAATCTTAATTCTTAAGTTAATGATTGAATAAACACACGGTGAGTTCTATGACAATAAAATATCTATAGAAATTCCCCTATTACATTGTGAAATATTTGTGCTTAACTTTAACAAAATATTACAATAACAATCATAGATATGAATTCTGGTTATTATTTACAGAAGTAAGAAGGTACAAATGAAAAGATTTGAAATTGATATCTTTTTCCATTTCACTGACACCAACCGGTCACCAATCAATTTCACTGACACATTTCCCAACAGCAATCACTGTGATTTCTAGCAACTTGATGTCATCAATATTCATCTCCAGATCTCCCTCATTATTACCACTGTGACCCCATTTTGTTTATGCCACATTTGACCAGAATCCAAAAGAAATATTCCACTTGATTGACCTTCACTATCTACTGCAGAAACCCCTTGTCATCACTCCATTTGTTGATCTTCAATTTGCTAAGATCAGTGTTCACTATATATGCCACATGATCAATGTCCACTATCTACACCTAATTCCTCATTAACACCACTGTAACCTTGGCAAACAACACACTCTACCACAAATCAACCGACCACTATGACCTTGATTGACCAACCTGCTAACCCACTTTATCAGGGAGTTCAACTCCAACATCTTGACATCACGTGACTGCCACCTGCCAATACAATCCAACAGAGACCTTCCGCTTGATCAACATTCACTATTTATACCTAATCCCTTGTTCACCACCATCATAATCTTAGCAACCAACATGCCTTACTATGCATCAACCCACCCTCATGACCAACCCACCTTAACTGGAAGTTCAGTATCAACATCTTGGCATCACACGACTACCAACCCATCAAACACCTCACAGATATCAATATCAACCTTAAAGAAAGGCATGCATCAAACCCTATCAATGGTTAATCCAATCTGGACCTATCCTCTGACCTCAACTGTGACCTCAGCCAACCAACCAAAGAAATTGGTCAACTCTTACACTTAATTGCTTTCCTGACCAACAGCAACTGAAAAACCACACACGAACAATTTTTGCCAAATTCCAGACAACAATTTTGATGAATACACATTATTGAAAATTTTATCTATGTTTGTTCCTTTCCTTTGCAACCAAACATTTCTTATCACATAAGTCTACCATTCATTCATGCTTTGAACATGGCTGCCATATACAGTCTGGTGTTCCTGTCTGTATTTAGAGATTCTTGATAAAATCCAAAGAATCCACAATGTTATTGGTCCTGGCCTGGCAACTTGGCTTCAGTCAATTTCCTACCACTGTAATGTAGCTTACCTGTGCCTTTTTTATAAATGCTTTCATGGTAATTGTTCTGCTAACAGTTTCTTTTCTCACACTTCTTACTTGTGGAATTCTCTTCTGGCTTCATGTTTTCCAGCCAATTTTGATCTTCAAAAATTTTAATGCAATGTCAGTCATTATACACTGTCTTCTGTTACCCTTCTGTTATTGTCACACTCCTTGATAATGTTCCTCTTTTCTTATTCTTTCACACTCAGTAACCCCTTGTGTCTTAGTGGCTTTACTGCCTTCCCTGGGGTGAAATGATTAAAAAAGAAAACATATTACTACAGAAGTGTACTGAAAATCAGAAGGAAAGTGATTGCCAGTGATTAGTTAGAGCTTTGGGCTACATATGTAGGCATCACTAAAAATCTTGATATAAAAATATTTTTGAATATATTGCTAATGACTTTACTATAGAGATTCATTGCAAATATTTTATGAGAGAAATGCATTTTAAATGATTTTAGGATTGGAATGCATTGGAAGTCTAGGGAAAAGGAATTGTCCATTAGCAGGAATTAAATAATAAAGTAAAGACTTACCCTTACTTTGTTGGCCCTTCCAACACTGCTTCTGCCTTGTAAGGCTAAACTTCCAGTTCTTGTTAGTTGACCTGAAAAGAAAAAATTGGCTTTGTTTAAAAACTTATTCTTCCCTATTTATGAATTGTTTTCAAAAAGGAAGATCTTTTATTTAAAGACATCATTTATAATTTCTGCTCAAAGATAGAGTTTCTGTAGAGGAAAACATCAGTTAATATTTGATTTTTAATGTTAGAAACAAGACTTAAACTCAAAATGTATATTGATTTACTAAACATAGTAAACACAAGGGAAATAAAAAAAAATACCTCATATACCCCCTATTCACACTATTTACATAATTAATGTCCTTTGATCACATCATCCATGATTCTCTTTGGTCAAGCCATGTTTTTGAATATATTCATCATTCCTTAGTATCTATGAGGTTTTGTATACTTTAAAAGCATCTCAAGATTACTTATAATACCTAATAGAATGTAAATAGTTATTAAATACTGCAGGCATGAACTAAATATTTCAGTGGGAAGGAAGCAATACAAAATTGTTTAAAAGTAATTATTATCTCCAAAATCTTTGTATCTTTTATAGGGAAAAGATTGAAGAAAATTATGATATAAAAACCATTTGCATACAGTCTATAGAACCAGTAATATAAGTGAAAAGTGAGAGTGTGATTTACCTATAAACAAAAAATTGTAATAATTTGTTTTAAATTCTAAAACATCTCAATTTTAAAACTATCATAAATCAGTTAATTATTAAATTTCAACAAAATTTCAGGTTCTTATTTAATAAAGGTTAGTTTTTTAATATCTGTCTCTATTTCTGAGATGAGGTATTATAACTATTTACTATTTACATTTTTCGGACTATCTATTGTACTCATCTTTGAAGGTGGACAGAACAAAAACATATCAAGGTGAATTAACTAAAACTAAGACATCCACTGGCATGATACATGGAATGTACCACCATGGACTAAATAAAGTGTTCGGTTTGAAATTCCAACAAATATCACCTGATGAAGACCAGAGTATACAAAGGCCAAAACATTGTGGATGTGACAATAAAGACGCGGACAACAATTCAAACAATGTAAATAGTGGAAATAATTTTTTTAAAAGATTTTACTCCAAATTTCAAAGAAAAAGTAAATGGTGCATACAGCACAAGTAGCAAATGAAAGAGTCACAAGACGAACAATGCCCAAACAACAAGTGCCAGAGAAAGACTGAGGATCTACTAAGCAGGAACCATCCACAGGTATGCTGCCATGTCACTTCATTTTTATGCATTCAGTATAATGCTCGCCTTGTAGAAAATTTAAGTTTTGTTTATTGGGGTAATTTTTGTAAGCTTTTTTTTTATTTCAAATATCTTTTATAAACAGTTGGTTAAATCAATGGATAGAAAATTTGCAGATATGAAGTCCAGTCTGTATATTAAAGGTTTACAGCCATTTCACACTGAAACACCAGTTCTTTTATGATCACTAAAGTTAAGCAATGCCAAGCCTGGTCAGTATCTAAATAGGTGAGCATTTGAGAATACCAACTTGAATGTGTGGGTGATAATGTCTCAGAACTGGAAATCAGAAAGCTGAGTTCCAATTCCACTCAGCTTCATTATTGTTGAGGGGTCCTCCCCTTTTTACACAAATGGACTCACCCAGTATATACATATACTACTGCTACATGAAGACCCAAAAGACAGAGCAACAGAGGGTGAAGGTAACAGACAGACCGAACGAACGTAGCGAGCAAGAGTCACAGTGAGCGAGCACATAGACTCAGTAAGAAGTCATACAGTGATACTTCAATACCCAAGACTGTATAGATATTTTGCTACTAACCCGTATTCCTGGAACTACTAATCTGTATTACCAGTTTGTATTATTACGTTAATACATTATTTTCCTATATTCATTCTTGGTGGTTTTTATTTATTGGTACCGGATTTCATCCCAGAATCCACAACAATTATATTCACTTACATGCAAGGTATGAATCCACCTGTTCTCCTCCCAGCTATGGGTTAATTAGTAGAACTTGTATCAGTAAATGATTATTATCTCCAAAAAGTTTTACAATAAAAAAAAATATTTTCTGGCTTTAGATAACCTGAAAAAGGTTGATAAACCATAAAAAACAAATCAATCAATGTATTTTGAAAAACTTATTATAATTCTTTAATTTGTAAGAACTATAACACTTATGGTACATATATGCCAATCAAGCTGGTTATCTTATTGGTTCATTTAGTGGCCTTATTGGTTTATTGCAATGAAAAGGAACAAATGATCAAACAATGTATTTCTCACCATTAAATATTGTTCGGATTAATGGATTTTTACTGTTCTTAAGGATTTCCAGGATTTCTGCAGGTTGGGTATCTCTGTTTTTTTCCAACCAATTAGTTGTATTGTACGTCACCTATAAATATAAAAAACAAAACAATAACATTACTGCTTACCAACATGCAACCAGCCAATATTACAACTTAAACCAATGCTTGAGCCATCTTTATTTTTTTTTATAATCATTTCACTTCAAGTGTTGATTTCATTCTGTTGGGAATGACTGCAAAACACTTGCTCCTCTTTTTTTTATAGGCAGAAGTCCACAAATGCATGCTGGGATATTATTCTTAGCCAATAAAATTAGCTGGTTTACAGTTTCACATGACGCGGTTGAGATGTGCAGATTCAGGTGGTTCATGGAACCCAGACAAAGCTATGCCAAAGGGCAAAGTCATGTCTGGGAAGGTAGACAAGACCTACTTTGTATATGCCGGGTCTATAGGGAATTTTTGCCCAAGCCTATGGGCTCAAATTTGCACCACATAAAAAACGGACTTGTGCCACATCCTGCCTTGTGGGGAGACAAGGTAAATAACCTCAGTCCAGATCTGCCTTGTCTAGAAGATAGACCATTGTCCTTGCTTTTGTATGTAGATGCCAATTCATAGTTTGTGTACTTTTTGCTTTCTTACCTGTTAATTAGCTTTGCATATATTGTTTGCTTGCTTGTTTGATATTATTTATATTTTGTGTTCTTTTTTTTCTTTTTCTTTTTCTTGCAAACTTTGTTAATTCTGTTTGTTGGACAGCTCTGTTATTTCTTCTGCATTTGACCAAAGCTAATCACTCAACAGGTTATGAGCCAAGCACACTTCCACTGCTTCCACAAGGCAATAAAACCACTAAGACTCAAGGGGTTACAGAGTGTGAAAGAATAAGAAAAAGAAAACATCATTAAGGAGCAAGAACAGTAAAAGAAGTGGAACTAAGAAGACAAGAAATAATAATGATGGACACAGCATTTAAATTTTTGAAGATCAAAGTTGGCTGGAAAGCAAAAATCCAAAAGAGATTTCTACAGATGAGAAATGCAAGAAAAGAAACTGTTAGCAAAGAACTTATGGTTATATCTAACCTGTATCCATTACTAATCAAAGACAAAATAAACATGCAAATTATTGATCAGTCAGTTATGTGCCATGCATCATACATGCATAGGCAATCATGTATCTTTTGATACATGACTGATGAGGCAGATTTTTTCCTCGCAGTAGGTTGCCATTTCTTTCTGCGATAGACCAGTTGCCATACAAGGCTACAGAACTCTATCTGTTCTGCTATTTACCCATAGCTAGAGTGAGAAGAAGAAGATTCATACCTTTCCCAAGGGTATTAACACATCAGTAAGTTATGTGCCATGCATGATACATGCTTAGGCAATCATGTATCTTTCAATACATGACTGACGAGGCAGACTTTTTCCAGTAGTAGGTTGCCATTTCTTTCTGCGGGAGACCAGCTGCCATCCAAGGCTATAGAACCCGATCTGTTCTGCTATTTACCCATAGCTGGAGGGAGAAGAAGAGGATTCATACCTTTCCCAAAGGTATTAGCACATATTCCTCAATCCAAGCCACTATCCATTACTCCAACATATAAATTATTGATAATAAAACAAAAAATAGGTGAGTAACAGCTTTTTACTCTTACTACTACCTGGAGAGATAAAAATAATTACAAGGGAGTAGTTTAATCAAATTCCCACTCATCTACTCCCATCTCCATTTACTATCATTAATTTTATCTAGGTTTCACTCACCAAATGAGTACTGAAACATTTCCTTATTATTCAAATATCAAGCAAATTTTTATATATATTCATTGTGACTGCATTGGTCATACAATACACAAGCTAACTCAAGATCATCTCACTACCAACTGAGTAACTCCTTAGGAGAGTGTCTGTTCAGGCATATGTAGTAATGTCATCTTTGATTGGTTGTCAAGTTATATCAAAGCTATACAAAAAATATTCTAAATATTTTCAAAATGGCTGGATACTTCCTGGATGCACCATGTACATTTTATATTCAAATTATTTCAATTTCTGTTTGAATTTGTGGGATGAAGAGTTATCATTATTTACACTGTTTACATTCTGACTATTATCCTCATCTTTGTCATTGTTATCACAGTGTTTCAGCCATTGTGCCCTCTGGCTTTTTATAAGGTAACTAACAGGGAATTTGGAACTGAACTCTATGTTTAATTTATGGGGGTAGACTGTTCTTGTTCCACTGCCTATGTCCAGAAATATCACATCTAGTTCTTATTTTTAGTACTGCTCAGTTATTGCTCAACAATTTACACTGATTTCAAGTACACACTGCCCAGCCGAGGGATTGAACTCACAATTACTATGTCACCAAATTCATGAACAAACACTTTAATCCACTAGGCTAAAGATTCCCTGTATATTATCCAGATCAAGATATATACCTTATGAAGGCCAAAGGATACAACGGCCAAAACATGATAAAAACACCAAAGATGAGGATAATAGTCTGAATGTAAATAGTGTAAATAGCAAATTATTTTAGTTGTCTAATTTTAAAATGTTAAAATAGAGTAAATTAGTTGCATAAACTTTTGATGAAAATGACTCAAGATGAAAGAATAAATGTAAGTATATTATGTTCTTAAGATATTTAATGTTTTTTAAGCATAGGTATATTCAATAAAATTTACAGAAGTGGAAAATAACATGATCAATTGCTTTTAAACCAAGCAAGACAATAAAACAACTAAAACACAAGGGGTTACCAAGTGTTAGAGAGTATGAGAAAAAGAAAGAAAAATACTATTAAAAAGAGAAAATAATAAAAAACAAGAAATAAGAAGACAGAAGATAACGATTGACATTACATTTAAATTTTTGAAGATCAAAGTTAACAGGGTAGCTAAAAGCCAGGAGAAAGTTCTACAAGCAAAAAGTGTTATAGAAGAAACTGTTAACATAGAACAAGGATGGCCAACCTATGGCGCATGCGCCATAAGTGGCGCATTGGATGCTTACAAGTGGCGCATTGCATCCTTTTGATGAAAAGAAACTAAGCCAAAATCTGAAGAGAAAAAAAAAACAAAGCATTGATTGATGGTCCCCCCTTTCAAAACTCCTGGATATGCCCCTGGTCATAAGCATATATTTTTCAAATAAATAGATTTTATTATAACTTTGAAATATGTCCATATTACAACACGTACTGAAAGGAAGTGAATGTTTGTCTGGCACATTTAAATTAATCGTACAAAATATTGGCGCATGGAATCAAAAGGTTGGCTACCCCTGGCATAGAACTTATGGTTACATCTAGCCATTTCAACTGTAAAATGATGAGACCTTTCCACCAATCTATTATTCATAAAGTCTAGGTGCCATAGAGGAAAGTTGATCAGAATACTTACCATGAAAGCATTTATAGAAAAGACACAGGGAAGCTACATTATGGTATTGGGAAAATAATTGAAGGCAAGATGCCAGGTCAAGCCCAATAACAATGCAGATTCTTCTTTAGATTTTTTCAAGAATCTCTAAATGTATAGCAGGAATACCAGACCAGATGTAGCAGCAATATTCAATGCATGGATGAATGGTAGATTTATAAATTTGTAAGATAGATTCTGAAGAGAAAAATTCTCTAGTATGATACAGTGAACCAACTTTCTTAATAGTAGACCTAGCAATTAATTCAATAAAATTTTCCACTTCATATCAGGGGAAAATGTTAGCCTGAGAAGGCACAATGAGTCATTCTTCTAGAGGGTAGCATCAGCCATGCTGATGAAAGGCAGAAAGGGATCTCTCAGATGATTGATAGAAAGCAGTTTAATTTTCGAAGCATTAAAATTAACAAGCCATTCCTTGCCCCACTTAACAGCAGATTATAGATCATTTTGAGATCAACTGCCAATTTGACCTTATCAGATTGATCACACTTACTATTCATAAAGTCTAGGTAGCATAAAGAAAACTTTGTCCAAATAATTACCATGAAAATAATTACAGAAAAAGCACAGAGACATTACATTACAGTGGTGAAAAAGTGACTGAAGGCAAGATGCTTTGTCAGGACCAGTAATATTGCATATTCTTCTTTGGATTTTATCAAGAATCTCTAAATATATAGCAGGAGCACAGGACCGTATTCAAAGTAAGGATGAATGGTAAACTTACAAATATGCAAAATAGATTCTGGAGAGAAAAAAATGTCTAGCAGGACACAGTGAACCAACTTTATTAGCAGCAGACCTAGCAGTTGATTCAATATAATCTTACCACTTCATGACATTAGAAAATGTTATTCTGAGAAGGTGAAATGTGCCACTCTCCTGGAGGTTAGCATCAGTTATGCTGATGGAAGGCATAAAGAAGTCTCTCAGATGATTGACAGAGAGCAGTTTCATTTTGGAAGTGTTAAAATTAACAAGCCATTCCTTATGCCAGTTAACAGCAGATTGTAGGTCATTTTGAAGATCAGCTGCCAATTTAACCTTATCACACCGATAAGACTTTGGTAAGACAGGAGTAAATAGTTGTATCATCAACATAAATTCATTTGATTCCAACTCCAGTGTTAACTTTCAGTGTACTATCAATAATTCAGTAATTCCTGCTTGGCCTGGAACGGGTCTTGAGCCTTATTTGGTAACCTTCCAAGAGATGGGGTCTCAATAAAAGCAGCCAATCATTGTCAGTGTTTGCTCTAGAGATGAACAACTGTGGATTTGGCCACACCTGATATGTCCACATATGATAAAAACTCTTTGGATAGATTAATATATAAATAACCACTACAGAGAAAAGAAGGAAGTCTCTCATACATCGCAGGTGGAGAATGTAAGGTCCATATACTAAACAAGGGTTCTTTAAGTTTGCATCACAGATTGGCCAAGAATAACTCAAGAGTTGAATAAAATGTAATGTTAAATATAAAAGATTCTAGTTTTGTGTTTTCATTTTGTCATCACAACTACTTCATTACAACATGGCAGTGAAATAAACCAAAATTAGAAGTATCTTCATTAGCAGAAGTATTTAGTCTTATAAGAAGAAATACAGAGCAACCTTGGTTCTCGAACATCTCACTTGATGAACAAATCAGTTTTTGAACAGAAGATTTGAGATGAAAATGCCTTGGTTATCAAACAAAATTTTGGTTCTCAAACAACATTGCCAAACCGAGCAGAACCAATTCAAACGGAATCATTTCTTAGTCGACTGCCATGTTGTATACATTCATGTGTTGTGCTGTGTTTTTCTTTTCCAATTTTATTACACTGTGCCTTTTTTTCTCTTCATTAGCTGTTAGTCATAGCTTCAAATAAATCTAGCAGTGATACTAGTAAAGGAAAAAGAAAAGTTAAGAGAAAAACAATTGTTGATGATATTGTCTCTTCCTGCTCAGTTTCGTATGTCAAAATCAATGATCTATACTATTCTTATAAATAAAGAGTCGATCATGTTTTTCCTTCCCCTTTTTCACACAATATCTCTTTCCTTCCCTTTCCACACTAGTTTCCTCTTACACCATCAACTATCCTACTTACAGGTACAATAAAATTAAAGTGTTTGCTTATATTTTATCTGTTTAGTATTGGGTTTATTTTTTTATTTTTTAGATTTAATAATTTTCATTAGTTTTATGTATAAACTTGTGTACAAAGTGCTGTTGTTAAAGTTTAAATAAGCAATCATCTTGGGATCAGGAATGGATTAATCCATTTTACATTGATTCCTATTGGAAAAATAGTTTCAGTTTATAAGCATTTTGTGTTATGAACAGGCTTCAGGAACAAATTACATTTGTGAACCAAGGTTCCACTGTATTCACACTCTGAGCAATACAGTAAATTAACATGTGTGTAAATAATATGGCTTCAACATGTTTATATAGAAAAATGTATTTCATAGATTTATATTTTCATTGCAATGAACTTACATATTAACTCATTTCATTGGATATTTATATAAAATAGAAACTTCAGATGTACGCTATTCAGACAGAAAGGGTACATTTTAAACTTCTCACAGAAAAAATTTGTAATAACCAACTGTTAGTAAAAGTTGGTTTTAATGCAAGAAGATTAGGATCATACACAATGTAATGAATGAATATTCTTAGAGTAACATTAGGGCTGAAAATTATTAATTGTTGATTTCCCCAAATTCCAATTTGTCCATGTTGTTGAACATAAATAAAAATGCATAAAGTTTCCTTTAAGTCTACAGAAAACCATAAGTAACTTAAAAAATCTGTTTTAGGATAAACAATAAAATTGACTGTCACAAGAGAAGGTACTTACATTAGCAGCATAATGTTTAATTGTGAATGTATATCCATGGGTAGTTGATGACTTCACATAGTAAGGTGTACTTCCTATGGTTTCATTCAGTTTGTCTACTAAAGTGATATCAGTTGCCTGGAACGAAATGAAACGTGAACAAAGAGTAAAAGAAAAATATTTAATTTCAATA